TTATGCCCAGGACAGGTGCTGTTCTGTGCAAATAGCCACGACAGGGGATGATACCCACAGTCTTGCTAATAATGCACAGCTCTGTGGGTTCTGTGAGGCCCTTTGAGCTACAGCAGGGTTATGATATGAGGTCCGCTCTCCTTGAGCTGGAAGACACCTTGTCTTCTCTCTGAGGTTTGCATTGCTTAAGACCGAGAGTTGGCTGATATAAGAGGGGAAATGAAATGCTTTACGAGGCCGGTTTGTGCCTGCAAACTCTCAACTCCACATAAAACAAAGACAGCATGCTGGTCTGGTGGCTGTGTTTAAGAAGGCAATATAAAGATGTTTGTGAGGGAAAATAATCTCAGAAATACCTGCTAAAATGACACAGATGTAAAGCTGTGGACCATGAAGCTGAGCTAATAGAGTGAGGTCAGAGATGCATTGAGAAGAAGAAGAAATTAAGGTCAGTTATCATTAAGCCACACTCAGGAGTGGAAGTTTAAGCAGGAGGGAAAGGGAAATGTTGTTTTCTATAGTTGGGAGCCATCAAAGGAGAGGTAATGGTCTAGAATTAGGCACATTCAGGTAAGGTGACAAGCAATCGGTGAGCAGGAAGTTCCCTGCGTCATCTTAATTGAACTGCTTAAAAATAGGACAACTAAAATACTGGTGGTACTAACCTTTATAATCAAGCTCTTGAGAATAGGAGCCCTCACTTCACAGCGAAGTCCATCGTGGCTGCTTCCTGGAAGCCCCCACACTGCAGCATCCTCGGTGCTTTTATGCCTTTCCATACTTTTCTCAAGCTTGTTGTTTTCTTCTTACATTTCTAATATTTTTATGCAATTCCTTACTCTCTTAAGATTTGAACTTACATACCAAATTGCATCCCCATTTGTATACCTAGATTTAGCTAAGTAATCATTTCTTGTAAAAATGATCCTTAATTGGAGGAGAATTTTCTGTGACTCAAAGCTAGTGCAGTAAGTCCAGATTAATTTTGAGTAACTATGCTAATGTTAATTTATGCAAATTGGAGAGCCATTAGTCCCCTCATGATACCATCCTCATGAATTTAAGGAGCCATGTACCTTCCTTAGCTACCAAGACAAGCCTTTGGGATCTATGACTTGGACCACCACATGGTGAGCCAAGTAGCTGAACAGGTATTAGCTCATGTGGCTACAATCTATTCCTGCAAGTGGATATAAGGACAAATATAGAGAAATAAATCATGCAGTGCAGCCGTAAATTAATCTGAAAAAGATGTCCATGCCATCTGCCCGAGTACTTTACATCTTTCAATTTATTCCTTTCACTCTTGCTGAACACAGTGCTTTCTGCCCGTTTTTGAAGCTATCTAAGAGCATAGTTAGGATCAAGGACAAGGAAATGAGACCAATTTTGTGATCTAGGAAGAAGGCTTCTTTTTAACTAGATCCTCTAGTATGTGTGACACTTCCCAGTTATTCTCTGCTTTCAAGATAGAACAGACAACACGGGGGGGGGGCAGGCTTTGTCTTCATGCTCACCCTCTTCATGAAGAGTAATATACCACAAAATTTAATGGTTATAACATTTCTACAAGTTTCATTTTCCACAACTTTACTCAACAGATGGTTTCTGGGATCCCATTACCTGTTGCTGCCATTAATTCCTGGTAGCTTTTTGTGTGTACATGTGTGTGTATCTATCTCACTAGGTGTGTAGGTGTGTTCATGTGTGCATACACATGTATTTACATCATACACCAAGAACCATTGTTTCACATGTCTGCTGTACCACTCAAATGTCACCTTTTCTTTACTTTTGACATAAGAAAAGGATGTAAAAGGAATAAAATGAAAATCTTTAAGCTGAGTGTGTGTGTGTGTGTGTGTGTGTGTGTGTGTGTGTGCATGCGCGCATGCACATGCATGCACACACGTACATATTTTCACATACTTATGGAACTCCCAGGCTCCTTGTGTCCATTTTCATACCCTCATCAGTGTTTAGTGAAAGCCTACTATGGGTAGTAGAGGAAATGCCAATTCACTAAGATGATGAAGGTGACATCTGATGAAAATTAAATTAATTATATTTCTGGGCACTGGTGGCAATCAGCAAGATTTGGTAAAGCTGTCAGAGGCAGGCCTGAATTGGCATAGAGGAATGTAAGGAGTAAGGTTTTTCCGCCGGTCTGGACCCACCGTCGCGCCAGCCCCAATTAATACACTTTATTAGGTATAATTCTGTTGGCCAGTTACTTGTTTCTTATCGGCTAGCTCTGTCTTAATTATTAACACATTTCTATTAATCTAAGTACTTCCACGTGGTCTCATCTTACCAGAGAGTGGGCCTGGACCTCTGTTCTCCAGTCTCTACATGCTGACTCCTCCTTACTACTTCCTCAAATCCTCCTTGTCTCCTAGTCCCACCTATCTTGCTTCCCTATTGGCCAACAGTGCTTTATTCATTAACCAGTATGAGAAACATATATACATAATGGCATCTCCCATCATCTCCTCTTTTCTGTCTAAAATAAAAAGAAGGGTTTTAACCTTAGCGTAGTAAAATACATCACACAACAGTTATCAAATAAGAATCACAGTTAGCAATATTTAGTCCATTAATATTTAGAAAGATTTAAAGAAAATATTCTACCATCTATCCTATCTTTGTGAGTCTAAAGTCTTATATGTAACTTATTTGTAATCCTAACTAAGGAAAACTATAACCATAACCATCTGTCTTCAAGTCCTTCAAAGACCACAAAAGCATAGTATATATCTAGAAATGACAGAGACAACTCACTGCCTGGTCAGTCACCTGAAGTTCTTCTGTAATTTTCCATCTTTAGCCCATAGGCCATAGTGTCTCTGGCACACTCTTCAGCAAAGTAGGAAACTTTAAACTGTCTTCTTGTAGTGATAGTTTTTTAGTCATGTCTCTCTGTGTCCTACAGACTGGCAGACTCTTCCTTGAAGCAGGAACCATGTAGCAGTGTCCATCTTGTATCAGCAGTCACTTTCCTGTGGTTTCTGCATGTCCAGTTTACACAGGATAAAGTCAAACAGTCCAGACAAGTACAGGATCTTGCTCAAATGACTATTCTTGCCAGATTAAAAGCAAACTTCATAACCCGTTTCTTTGATGTCCATCTTCCTTTCTGACGCAGGTGGTATTGCCAGGAGCATTTATGTCTCACTGTCAAGAAAAACCCTAAACCATTTTAAATGCCATATTCTATAGGTCTTTGAAAGGTTTGAAGAATGTCTATCCATCTCAAATACATCTCTATATATCTAGAAAACCTAACTAACACTATAAATTTTGACTATTATAGGTAACTATCTATAATCTGTACTAAATTATACATTTCTAAATGAGTTATATAAACACAATACCTAAACAAAAGGAGAAATACACATATCACAGAATTGACCTTAAATTGTATCAATAAATGAAAATCCATTCCAACACAAAATATTCATATCTATACCATAATTCCCTTTTTACCTAAAAAAGAAATTGGTTGTTGTCATTAACCATTTATAGGCAACCCCATTTAAATGAAAACAAACATTTATAACCAATATTTGGGAATTTGTACGCGGTCTCTGTGTGTTATTTGGGGCTGGCACTACGGTGGTTCCAGGTGGGCAGGAAAACAGAAGAATATGTTCAGGCACCAAAGAGACCTGGCCTATAGAGAGATGAAGTGAGATGATGCCAATGCAATGGACAGAGCAGCCCATCTCAGAAAGGCATGCAAATGTCAAAAAGAGAAACAGAAATTCTGCAGTGCTCTTCTAGGGAGATGACTCCAGAGAGGTAGGCAGGGCTTGACCACAGGATGGGAGCCATGGTAGCAGTCTAGTTTCATTTTGATATTTTTCTTGAAGGAAATAAGCATTAAACTACTTTGAAATCGAGGAAAGAGACGTTAATAATCTCCTTTCAGAAGGGTTGTTCAAGCCTGTCAATCAAGGAGATTGACAGGAGGGTCAGGCTTGCCATTGGGTAAAATGGCTTCTGGGGTTGGGCAGGCTATGTTTGAAGCTGGTATGTGTTATTCATTGGTTCAGCATTTGAGGGGAGTTTTTCAGTCTTCCAGAGCTTCACTTTCTAATCTACAGAAAGGATAGAAGAGCATCTAAATTGAACCAATGTGCGAACATACTTCTATAACACGGTCAATGGCACATGCTGTGAAAATGCTGGTCGCAGCCTTCACTGGGAGGTGGGGAGGGAAAGTAGAAGATTAAAAACCCTTGGGAGACACTGTTGGTAGGTCTTGGTGATTAACAAAGTGTAGATAGTGTGTGAGGTAGAGAGTTAAAAGGTTGAGAATTTTAACAATATTCGTTATGATCAATTATGTTTGGATTTCAAATAATAATCATTTAGTGATTTTTTTCTATGAAATCCTTGTTAAACTAACTATTAACTGGGAATCCTGCATTTTATCTCTGGCCTTTTTACCAAATATCTCTCGGGTATATAGGATACACCACTGCCTATTTAGTAACGATTTCAGTCTGAGTAGGGAATAGCTCTATTTGGTTTTTAGTTGAAAGTTCTTCAAATAGGCTTAAATTAATCTTAATTTAAATGAATTAATTTTGAATGTGAGTGACTATTTTGTCTGCATGTATGTATATCATGCAGGAACCTGATGCCCAGAGAGGCCAGAAGAAGGCCTCAGATCTGCTAGACTGAGAGTTTGAAACAGTTGTGAATTGAATGGCAGTGCTTGGTACCGAGCCCAGGCATTCTATAAGAGCAACGAATTACTGACCACTGGGCAAACCCACCCTCCCAACAGCTCTCTATACTAAGTTTTCATGTAGATGACTGAGTGGGTGTTTTTAGTTGTAATTAATATATTCATTAAAAAGAGCTCTTACTACTGCTACAGTGAGACCCAGCTGTCCATTCAGAGTCTTTGGATTTTGAGTGCTATCAAAACACTATCTTTTCTAGAGAAGACTGAACCAAAAGTGAAACCAAAAATTCTTTCTTATTTCTAGGCTTTTACATTTCTCCTGGACATGCCACTGGGTGCCTGCCAGTGTAACCGGGCAGTGCTCTTGTCGTGATCCCTCACCCACTGGGTAGAGCTGTTACCAGTGTCAAGACTGTTACTTTGGATTTGATCCTGAGACTGGAAAGTAAATCTTTATATGTGTGGATGAGAAAACATCGGTTTTTACTTTTAGTTTTCCTTGTCAACAAGAACTTTGGATATTTTTAAACAATAACTTCTATAAAATGTTCACTTGGTGAGTATATTTTTGAGTACTTGTTATCTTGTCTACTAAACATTGGTGTGTGTGTGTGTGTGAGAGAGAGAGAGAGAGAGAGAGAGAGAGAGAGAGAGAGAAAGAGAATGTGTGTGTGTGTGTGTCTGTGTGTGTGTGTGTGTTTGTGTATGTGTTTGTGTTTGTGCAGGTGGAAGCCAGAAGTCAACCTTGGATATCCCAGTATTGTTCCAACGAGCTGGCCTTCATAATAAAGGTTCTCCAACTGGCTTGGAACTTGCCTGTTAGACCTACATGGAACTATAACTTTGTGCCACCATGCCTGTTTTTTGTGTGGGCTTTTTGAGTCTCAAACTCAATTCCTGATGTCTGCACAGCAAATGCTTACTCAACCGAACTGCCTCTCTGCCCCCAACTATTTTCTTTTTCTTTTTTAAAAAGAAAGACATTATTCTCTTCAGTCTATCACAATCTCCACCCTTGAATGTTCTTATATTCAAGACTGTTTTTGGTGGGGTAAAATCCTGCTCTCTCTTTCTCTATTTATACTCATCACACCTCCTACATCAGCTTGTTCCAGGACCCAAACCTGCTCACAGAAGAGTGTTCTGTCATTTGTCACCCCACAGGATGTCTGGCTAGCACCAGAGTTGGAGTCTCTGGGATAGAATGTAGATTTAAATGTTAATCTCAACTGATGAGGAGTAGAAGGAGACAAACAAGACCACAGAGCCTACAGTATTAGAAGACACTGAGGTCATTTAAAACTTTGAATCCAGTGAGATTGGTGGAAGGGTGGAATGAAGAAGATACAGAAAAGGAAAAATCTAGAGAAGTATGGTTATAAAGGAAGATGATTCATAGCAAGTTTTATACACATTAAGTTGAATGTTTCTGCATATCAGCCAAGTCTTCTTATATTGACTCAGAGAAAGAGCAACCTTGATGAAACCACACATTATTCTTTGACAAGAAAGCTTTTCCCCTACATCCACAGTGCTTTCATATTCATTCTTCTGAGTTTCATTCATGGAGTACTGGGGTATTGCTGCAGTTTGGTTCTGAAGACTCATGTTTTAAAGGCTTGACCTTACCTTGGTGCCTTTGTGACATGGTGGGACTTTAAACAGTTAGGGCCCAGTGGCAGGTAGTCATCCCTTAAGGGATATGGTGGAGCTCTTCATCTCCTGTCCCTTCCTCTTTGTCTTTTTTCTTTCCTAGACATGGGGTGAGTGTTTTGTTGCCTCACATTCCCCTGCCACGGTGTGTCAGGATGACGTGTCACCACAGTGTGATGTGCCACCACAGGCCCCACAGGAGTTGGAAAGTGACATCTGAAGCATTGGGCTCAGATAAATCCTTTTTCTCTGTAAGTTGTCTGGGGCATTTCTTACAGTGACGAAAAGCTAATACAGGGATACACATTTCTTTCCTTCTCTAATGTCCATCAATAATTTCAAACTATAAAAATTTACATTCCTGCTAAAGTTCTTCCATGCCTAGCATTAGCCTAATCTTTCTGTGTCTCAAATCATCCTGAATCCAGAAATGCTACACTGTGAGCAGGTGACATTGTTCCAACTTGGTCATCCCAGAATGATCACTTAACCTGTGCTGGTATTCCTGCACAGTCCTACGTTGGTCAACTGTGCCCACCTTTATGGTCTTCTGTTTCTGTGCTGGAACAAGATCATCTTGGTTTGCTATTGAGCTCTCTTCCTTCTGCAGGGCTGTAGTCAGGCCTACAGGTGGTCCTCATGCTGGTGTCCTGGGTTGACTGGACTGAGAATGAGCATGTGCTGGCTGGACCCATAACTTTTCATCTTGCATGTATTTCTCATCACCCTGTTTCATGCCTCCTTCAGATGGTAGCTTCAGCCTAGGCTTCAGCTTCCTGGTCTCCTCCTTGTAGATTATCCACCCCTCCGCTGTTCAGATGAAATGACAACAGAAACAGATGAGTCCAGATTGTACTCCCCCTCCAATCTGTCTTCTTTTTTATACATTCTTAATTTTTATCTAGTCATGGAAGAAAACAACATTTTTAATGGCCTATTTTGAGTGTGATACCTTTCTGAGTTTTATGGGCTTTTTTTTTTCCTATCTTATATTCTCATCTTCATCTCACCATCCTCCCTTCTGAAACTTGCTTCTTCAGATTTTCACTGTAACCTAACAATCGCTTCTTCACTGATAAAATGCGCACAGATATGCTATCATAGCCTCATTGCTAGCTCCTTCCCATGTCTTTATCCTGCTCTATGAGACCTAGGCATCATTGATTTCTCACTCTTCTGCTTGCTCATTTTTAAGAATATTTTTCTTGCTTCTTCCTATTCATGTCTTCCCATCTGTTTCTCAGCCCCCATACTTTGTGCATACAATAACCAAAGCCACATAATACAGACAGCCAAGGGCTAACCAAACTTGTTTTTTGCTAGTGTCAGAGTGGAACATATGGTCTTCCATGTGTTAATCAAGTGTTCTACCACTGAGCAACATCCATAGTTCCCTTAATGACTCTTGGAACTCTTATCTCTATCAAAGACAAAGTATATAACGAAATAGAATAGAAAACAAGGATTGAGGGAAGATAATTAGAGAATAGGGTTGCCCTAAAGGGGGTGACAGAAGTGTCTGTGAGGTCTCTTACATGTGATTCATATTAGAAGGATCTAGGAGGGTGACATTTATCACCTGCAGTTGTGGAGACTGGTGTGCTGATACACAATTTAGACCTATAAAATATGAATGTGGACAGGAAGTCTGGCCAAGCTTAGCTAGATCACTTGAGGTATCACTCTGCCATCTAACCATCATAGAGTTTATGAGGTTAGGGTCTGAGTAGGATAACAAAGAAGAGGAATGGAATGAGCTCTTAAGTCTGTGAAAAGTTGCAGGTAAAAGCCTGTAAAGCCCTAGGTGTAGCAAACAGGCAGGATTCCTCTGGGCTACACAGAGACTAAGAAAGTAGATGGAAAAGAGGCAAACTTGAGCAATCTGGAACTGTAAGAAAGAATCCTGGGAGGAAGCCGGGAAGTTTTCCCCCAAATGGAAGGTCAGCTCTGAACACAAAGGAGGCCAAAGACAGCATCCTGAAAGTGTGACTCTGAGTGTAGGCAAAGCCACAGAATGTAGCCTGCTGTGGCTGTGGCAGGCCAGTGAGTGAGTACCTGCACCTCTTGAGACTGAATGTGAGGAAAGAGGTAAGTATCAGACAAGAGGGGGATGACCAGATAACCCTTGTTGGTAGAGTCCCTGTCATTATCATGCCTGAACTAAAACAAACAAGCAAGCAAGTAAACAAACAAACAAAAAGCCCTGGGAGAAAAGTTTTGTTTTCTTTTTCTTTTTTATTTTGTTTTTGTTTTTATGTCTAATTTGAAGGTTGACCTGATACACAAGACTAGAAATTCTATTCACATTGTTACATATTTAAAACAAACAAACAAAAAAAAAAACAGAACAAAACAAACAAAAAAACCAAAACGACTCCAGGGTGCTTCATTGCCTCTGGAAGATGAGAGGATCCATAGATGGCTCCTTTTGTAGCCAGGTTGAAGACAGGATGGGGTCAGGTGGGATACATGCATCAGGATATGGGATGCAGCAATCAAAGAGCTGACTCCTGTTTGCTGTCCACACTCATCTTTTTTCATTGTGTCATTATTAGTAAAATAATCTCTTCCCTTTGTGTCCAAGACCCTACTTCTCTGAGAGGCTGTCTGCTTTGTTGCTTGCCCCTGTAGAATATGCCTCTCACCTGACTCAGATCTGTTTGACATCAGCCACCACATTACTTATCATTGGCTCTTGTTGAGTATATGGTCACCTCTTAGGTCTGTGCCCTGTGCACCAGTTGTGAGATCTTAGCACTAGTATATGGCATGTCCTCATCCTCTGGACTAAAGGGATAAACAGCTTTGTGTGTCTCTCCAAATAGATGGTGCTCTAAAAGGGTGTAGATTCTTTCAGTCTGGACAGGATAGGACATAATCCATACATACACTGACACTGGAAAGAGCTGTGGCAGCTTCCCTATAAAGAATAGAAAGAATGAAGCTGCCAGTCCTGGCTCACCACATAACAACACCTGCTGGGGGAACATTAGGATGTGTTCTCCAACCTCAAGAGCCCATGTGAGCCAGGTGTGTTTATATGCACACATGTGATGCTATGGAAGAGAGGGACTGGAGAGTCACTGGAACTTAATGACACCCGTCAAGGTTCAAGTTTTGGAAGAGGCCCTGTCTCAAGTGAATAGGGAGAGTCTCATAGAGCAGGATATCAGATATCCCCACTCAGGCATCTGTCCACACACGCACACATATAATACACATATACACTATGGGATCACTTACATAAAAAATCGTTTTGTTTAGAAAAAGAGAGAATCAGGATATAACTACTCCAGTGATATGTTTGTGCCTTTGGGAATCAGTCACTGGGGAAGTTTGTGGTGAGGGCTGACCCTCTTGTTTCACTGATGAATCCTGCCATCTCCTTTCACTTTAACAGGGATAGTCATTAGAGAAGAGACCTTCTCTCACACAAGGTCACAGAGGGAAAGTGCTTCAAACTGTGACATGAGAATTGCTCCAGTGTGTGTTTGCTCATCAGGGAGAGGGGAACAAATGGGCTCTCTCCCTTTTATGATTCCTATTTCCTTTCTGAATAATGGACTTCGTGGATGCCTTTGCCGACTTCTGCCTTCTGTCATTATACATACCAACATTATCTGTTTTTTAAAATGAAGAGTGGACTGACTAAACTACATGGGTTTTATGTGGCATAAGAAAATTTTATCACACAACTATGGTGACGTATTCCTGTAATCCTATCACTTGGGGAGATAGAAGCAAGTGATAATTAAAATTCAGGCCAACCTCTGCTAAATAGTGAGGTCAAGGCCAGCCCGGGCTACATGAAGCCCCATCTCAAAGAAATTAAAAGAAAACATTTTTTGTTGTTTTATTTCTCACAAAAGTTCATTTATAGTGTAGATGTATGAAGGTATTCAGTGTAGGAAGTTAATGTGTCTTGATATTTAAAAATGAAAAGGTAGAAAATCATTTAAAATCATTTGGTGTCACTTGTATACTATGGTAGATGTTTACTGGCATAAATGTATTAGTTTCCAGTGTCTCCAGTGAGCTGTTGCAGTGTTAAGCGGGGGGAGGGGGGTGATGGTTAGAGGGTGAGGCTGGGAAGTGGAAATACACTGTGGTAGACTACGTCTTGTGAAGTCCTGTGATTCCCTCATCAGCCACTGAGACATTCTCGGGGACTCTTCACCCTTCCCTTCTTCATGCCTCTTTACTGAGAAGAGCAGCGACTGCTGGGGGTGTTGTTGTTGTTATATTCCATGGTTTATTTTCAATGCTCTTTAAAACCAATTCCCAAGGAAGCCTCACCTTCCCTGAGGAGTGTATGGGGGGGGGGGTAGGTGGGGGAGAAGGGTAGAGAGAGCAGAAGGAGGAGAGAGAGTGGGAACTGGGATTGGTATGTAAAATGAGGAAAGATTGTTTTAAAATTAAAAAATTATAAAATGAAATGAAAGAATCCATTATAAAGCATAATCCCCAAGGGCCAAGTAAATAAAATAATATAGACACTGACCATAAACTGCAGCAATGGTAACAAAACCCCACAGTCAACCACAACTTCCTATGACCAATCTGGTAAAGCCTTCGTCTCTTTCCAAGCTCCTGTTTCATTCTGCAAAGTGTACCGATCAGTAAAACGTGGTCACATCCTTCCAGAAGATAATTCCGGTGAAAACACTGCTTCATTTACCTCTGACACAGGCAGCAAGCATGGCTTCACCAGCCCCGAAACAAGGATGCAAGAAAACTGTCTAGGGAAAAAAATCAATAAAGCAAAAATGTTATCACATTTGTCTAACTCTAAAACAATGAGAAGGGAAAAATAAAAGTGGGCCATATCTGTTCATCTGTATCCTGAACACATGAGCTCCCTGGTGTCATCCGTAAGTAGTCCTGAGAGTGGTCCTTATTTCCCCCAGTTAAGATATCCCCAGTTCTTCTGGCACCCTCTCCCATTTCTTATGAAACTTCCACACATTAATGTCCAAAGCTGTCTAGAGTAATTAGTTCAGTTTACCTTGTTTTAAGCCTCAAGGAGCTAGGCATATGCAGCCTGGTACACGCTAAAGTGCAATTGTGCTCAGATAACAGAGACTGGATCAAGATTTTTTGTTTGTTGTTTGTTTGTTTGTTTTTCGAGACAGGGTTTCTCTGTCCTGGAACTAGCTCTGTAGACCAGGCTAGCCTCGAACTCACAGAGATCCACCTGCCTCTCCCTCCCAAGTGCTGGGACTAAAGGCATGCACCACCAATGCCTACCCAGATATCTGAAAGCTTAGACTTCAAGAACAGATAGTCAACTTTTCCTGCCTTGGGATTATTTAGGTTTTACTGCAGAAATTCTCATTGTAAACCTGATGTTATATATTTGGTCTGGTATTCTTTATGCATACACATCTCCAGTGGGTCTCCATGGGTCTTTGCTCTGAGACCTATATCAGTGACTTTAAATAAAAGCAGGCACCATTTTTACAAAGAGATCTCTTGTGCAGTGAAGATGTAAAACCTGGTACATGTTTTCCACAGACTCAGGCTTCTCTGTGACTATTAGACAGTTGGCTGTCTGAGATAACAGAAGTGACAGACTCCAACCAGGTTCCCATCCTCCCCTTCCAGCCTGGGCTGGACCACAAAGTGGGGACAGTTTCAGGAAAGAGAGAAAAGACAATGAAGAGACTTGAGGCTCATGGTGAACACTGCTACTTTTGCCTGATTGTGTTTCTCAGTGGAAGTCACGGGACCAGGTCATATTCAGGAGTGAGGAAATAGACTCTTCCTTTACTGGACAGCAGGGCTAAGACAAAGGGGTCTGCTTAGAAGGAAAAGTGTCTAGTCATTTTTGAAATATATTATGGACCTTGTCTATTTATTCTACCTTAATATGGATTGTGGAAGTTTCTTCAAGAAATGCCAGCTTTGTACGTTATTAATAGCACCATGTCCTCGGTGTGACAAACTGGGAATGCTGCAGAGCAGAGCATCAGGACATGCAGGGTCCAGCTCTTCTTCCCAGGCATATTAACTTGCTCCTGGATATGATAAATTACTGCAAATTCAGTGTCTTAAAACAATGAGGATTTATTACCATATAATTCTGGAGGTCAGAGGTCCTAAATTAGTTTCAGTGGACTAAAATCATGGTGTCAACGGGCCACCTATGTTTCTTCTGGAAACTCCAGGATAAAATCCATTGTCTTGATCTGGGTGCCTTCTATAGTCTACCTACATTCTTTAATGGGCAAGCAGAAATAGTATTTGTTGGGGGTGGGACATTCATATTCCTGTGCATATAGGGTTAAGAGCAGAGATAGGCACTGAGTACTTTCCTCAGTGTCTTCTCACCTCATATTTTGAGACAGAATCTCTCACTGAACCTGAAAATCATCAATTAGGCTTGGCTAGCTGGCCAGATAACTCTGGTACTCCTTGGCTCTCCGACTGTCTGGCACTGGGCTTACGTGCTTATGTTGCTGTAACCAGTTTACCCATTCCCACCCCATTTTCGGGTTTTTTGGGGTTTTTTTTGTTTTGTTTTGTTTGTTTTGTTGTTGTTGTTGTTGTTGTTTTTTTTTTTTGGACAGGGTTTCTCACCCAAACTTTCTCAGCCAAATGCTAGGCTGTCTGGCTAGTGAATCCCAGGGGTCTGTTTCCACTTCCCCAGTGCTATAATTGTCTGTGTCTTCTGGGGATTGAACATCAACTCTCTTGCATGCTTACAAGGCAAGCTCTTGACTAAGCCTTGTCTGATTTCCTCATTCCTTGCATTCTGTGACTCACAGTTCCTTCCTTTGCCTCGAGAGGCAGTAGAGTAGCACTTTCTACCTTCTCTGAGCTTGACTTCTCTCCTCACATTTTTCTTTACTTTTTGTCTCACCCACACCACCCTGCCTTCCTTCTATAAAGACCTATGTGATCACATTGAATATTCTTGGATATTCCAGAGTACCATCTCAAGTCTTTAACCATATTTGAGTTCATTTTACCAAGTAAGGAAACATTTTTCAGTTCTACCAGTTAGGACTTAGACATCGTTGGTGGCCATACTTCAACCTGTGCTAAAAGCCAGCCTTCTGGAACTTGGGCTCAAATGTGATCTGATTCCCATTTTTAATTGGAGCCCAGTACTGCTCATCCTTTGTGCATCATTTCATAGCTTCTTTCTTCAGACTGCAGTAGGGTTGAGTTGTAATGGGGAACTTGTTCAGGGAATCTGAAATGTTTATGGCCTTGTCCTCTGTAGGTAAAGACTACAGAACCTGTAACGAGATAGACTGTCCCACTAAGCATCTTAGAATTGTAGCTGTATAAGGCCAGGAAGGACTCTAAAAGTAATGAAGATTTTCTTGATCTTCCCCCACTTTCCAGAACACCCTGGTAAATGGCCCCTCACCTTCTGCTTCTAATTGTGGAATTTAAAAGATCCACAGTCTCTTGGGCAGGGGCATGTCAGCCATTGTAATTGCAAGTCAGAGGTGTGATCTTCATTGAAGATCACATTTCCTTCCTGTGCCTTCCTGTCCTATTCTTCCTTCTGCTTCTATAGCCAGAGAGAATAGATGTAATCTCTCTTCTGCTTGGAAGCACTCCACATGTCAAGTACCGGAGAGGTGACATAGATTGTCAGCCAAGGAGGAGACACTGGCTTTAGGTCCAGAAAATGCTTAGAGAGCTTAGCTCCCCTGTAGGTGGCAGGAATGTCTCCTCTCAAGTATCAGTGCATTGAATGCAAAGGCATTGGTTGCATGGCCTATTTTATGAGTTCCTGATTTCAGGCCTGGAGATTTTCTGTATCTAAGTTCTTGAACTGTCCACTTCTTCAGGGTCAGATGCCAGCAATCTCACTTGATCTTTACTAATTCATGTAAATATGACTTTGCACTCACACCTACTAGGTTGCCTCACCCCATATCCTCACACCATACAAACAACTCCAGCCCCAGGAGAGTGCAAATATTCTCAGAGTCTGTGGCAAAGGAGAACCAAGAAGCTTGCATGTGAGACAACTGAAAGATCAGGTCTACACCACAGGGTTAAGCCACACTGCTACAGAGGGCACTCCAGTCACCTCTGCATCCTGCATTGAAAGTCAGCTGAGAACTCTGCTGCTTAGAAATACAATAAGGCTGAGGCCAGCCCTGACAGGGAAGCTACTTCCTCCTCAGAAGTCACCCAATTGTGCCAAACTGGAGAGGTACAAAAAAAGCTGAAGTTTGTTTGCAGTCAGAATGCTTTGATCTGTTTCTGGTGCCCCATCTTAAACCTACCTTCTTGGTGTTTCATTCAGTAAAACTTCAGCAGTTATATGCATCTGACTGTGTGTGAGCACTCAGCAGTGTGTGTGTGTGTGTGTGTGTGTGTGTGTGTGTGTGTGTGTGCGTCCTCACTGTGTGTGAGCACTCAGCAGTGTGTGTGTGTGTGTGTGTGCATCCTCACTGTGTGTGAGCACTCAGCAGTGTGTGTGTGTGTGCATCCTCACTGTGTGTGAGCACTCAGCAGTGTGTGTGTGTGTGTGTGCATCCTCACTGTGTGTGAGCACTCAGCAGTGTGTGTGTGTGTGCATCCTCACTGTGTGTGAGCACTCAGCAGTGTGTGTGTGTGTGTGTGTGTGTGTGTGTGTGCATCCTCACTGTGTGTGAGCACTCAGTGTGTGTGTGTGTGTGTGTGTGTGTGTGTGCATCCTCACTGTGTGTGAGCACTCAGCAGTGTGTGTTGCATCCTCATTGCTAGGGCTGATGAAGAAACATTCTTATCCCAGCTCACACATCAAGAAATTTTCCCACAGCCTTGCATACAGGCCAGTCTGATGGGGCATTTTCTCAATTATGTTTCTTCTTCCTAAATGATCTAACCTTGTGTCAAGTTGTTCAAAAAACAACTACATTGTTCAAGTATTTAGACCCAAGTTTAATCTGCCTGCACTCATATCAAGGGCTAAAGCTGGCAACATAAAGCTGTAATTGTTGCAACATTGTGGGCAGAGATAGGTGACTCCCAAGAGCCTCCTGGCCAGCCAGCTCTCTCTCTCTCTCTCTCTCTCTCTCTCTCTCTCTCTCTCTCTCTCTCTCTCTCTCCAACAACATAAAGGTATTTTGTGCCATATATCAAATGTGCCTGTACCCTGATAGTGACCTATTCTATGAGTTGTGGGATTTATCGCCTGACGCATCCTATCAGCATGAAAAGTTTTAGACTTTGCACCATGTCATTCTTGGCATTTTCAGCTTTGTGGTGGTCAGCTGGTATGCTTCCCCAGCCCTTCCCATGGTAGTTCTTCATCCTGTGCAGCATCCTGACCTACATGCATCCTTCCCACTGGCTTCCACTCTCCTTTGCTTTCCACAGTAGGCTGTGCACTTCTTGAGGACGGGGCATCTCATAACACTCATCTTTACATCTTCAGTGTGAATTCCCATCCAAGAACCTAGCTGGGTCTCAGTGAATGGTATTGATGTCAGTCCTTAGTTAAGTCACTTTTGTGTATATGAGAGCTGTGGTCCTAGCAGAAGGGGTGACCAAATAAACTTCCCAGCAATATCATGAGTACAGAAACATACTGTCTTCATCATGAGTTAGGTTTTTATCAATAATAATAATGAGGATGACTTTTGTGCTGTTTGTATAACTAAAAGAAACTCCCAGGGAAGCACCGTGTAGGAGACTTGTCATTTAAGAGACAGAAGCCAATTATCCCCTCAGTGTACCTGGTAAATACTCATTTGCAGAAGGGGGGCAGCAGCAGTATGCTGGCTAAGATGAGCAGAGCCTCCCTCCTGTTTTGTTTATCATAATGAACTGGTCAATAAACATCACAAATTGTTTATCTATATAAATCTTGACAGATTACTCTTTATGAAATCCATTTAGCAACTGAGGTTTTCCCATAAGGATGAAAAATGAAGATTTTAAACAGATTGCGGGACCAGCTCAGGCTGTGCCAGGAGAGTTTGTGCAATAAAGGTTTCTTTATATTAATATTACGAAAACCATTTATCCTGGCAAAATCAATATCACAATTCATCTTAGTTTGTTGCCTCTCTTCTAAGCCTAAGATTTCTTCTCCTTTATTGTGTCTAATTTTGTTTTAATAAATGAGAATTATATTTCATTTGGTCGGTACTCCAAGGAGGAGCATCTGAAAAAACTACTCTCGAACTTGTGGCTATGTGCTAGAGTCTTCAAATGTTTAAAATTGTATTTGAGTGGCTCAGAAATTTACAGGAATCGTTTCATTTAAGCCTTAATTACAGCATTATCCCCTGTGTCCTTTGGACTGGTAGCAAACTATAATATTCTAGAAAATCCGCCTTGATGAACTTCACTTAAGGAAAAGGCTCTCCAACTGAAACTAAGCAGTTATAATAAGTCAGATATGTTCAATAGCGGCTGGGAGAGGAGACAATAAAACCAGAAATAGATGCATTTAATTACTCAAAACATTGCTTGCTTTCCTAAGAAGTGATTTATTTATTCCATTTGGATTCAGAACATAATATCCCTTGGATATTGACATAGCTGACTCTGAACTGTGTGGGTAACAGTCAGCTGGAAGGAAATGGAGCTTCATCAAGGGATGGAATTAAGTCACACACTGCAAGCCATTACTCTAAATGCACTGTATGTAAAGTAAGTGTGATTGTCTCATGAGTGGATGGCAATAAAAACTGAACCACTCAAGAGACGCTTACTCATGAGTGATATGTGTGTGTGTGTGTGTGTGTGTGTGTGTGTGTGTGTGTGTGTGTGTGTATATGGGGAAACTGCTTCTTACGGCTCAGGCTCACTAATATTATATTAAAAGCCTACAAACAATATACTGTAAGTGATAGTACATAATGCAATTAAGAACAAATCAGCCATTTCATCACTTCTATAATTCCATTTTAATTCCAATGCATAATTTTCCTCATCTCTAATGCTTTGCCTGAAATAATATCTATTGGGGATGAAATTCTTGTGCAATGTATCTAGATGAAAACTGTCAGGGTTGTTTGCAGGGGTGGGGAAGTTCTTTTATCAGGACCATAAAGAGGACAACTATGGTACTGTCGCTTTCAGGAGAAACCATACTTTATTTATTCCCAAAGGTGGATTCGTCCATCAAACAAATTTGCAGCTTATTTTGCAGCTTTAGCTTTTATCGGCCTTTTTAAAGGTGTTGAATGATTACCCGAGAGATCACACCATAAAATTTGCAGTAGGGTGAAGCAACCACATCCACCAGTTTCTCTATAGAGTAAACAGGGGAATCTATTCAGTGTTGTTTTCGATGTACCACATGATTTCCATGGTTAAATAGTTAAATAGTCTTAGTGGATCTTATTTTACACCTCTAATCTTTATAGTGCCCAGCCTGCTTAGCCTAATGAAATGCAATGGGGACATCGTACATGAGAATAATTTACCTGAGGAGAAAGCTTTCCCTCTCTATCACCACTGAGGAGTTAGTACTGTTAATATTACAGATGACTTTAGGTCTAAGAGCTTGTAGAGCTTGTATGTTACAGGGAAAATGCCCCATTACCAGGGTAACTATTTAATTTTATCTGGCTAAATGCCAGTTAATGCTAATTGTCACATTGACAAAATCTGGAATCTCCTGTGAGCTGGGCCTAAGGTGATTGTGTTGACATGTGAGTTGAGATGGGAAAAGCTACCTGCTGTGAGTGGCACTGTCCCTGTCTGGGGTCCTGGATGCACATTGGAGAACGGGAGCAGGACTGCAGCAGGTATCCGTTTCCTGGGAGTGACTGGCACGAGCTCCTGCTTCCTGTTCGTCCACCTTGACTTCACAGCCATGATTAAGTATTCCCTCCAGCTGGGGGCCAGAGTCAACCCTTTCTCATTTAAGTAGGTTTTGTCAGGATATTTCATCTCAGAAACAAATCAAATAAAAATGTAACTAATACAGCACCCAAAATATAAATATAACTCATATTAAGCATCAACACTAATTAGAACCTATCTGATTATGTTAGCAAATTTTAATCTTTATGGAATGAACTCTAGAATTTGAAGGATTTTAGGAAGGGCAGTGACTTGTTCTTAGATTCTATATTGTAACAGGATATTTAAATAAAATAATATTGTGATACCTAATTTGAACATTTAGCTGACAATAGAACTTCTGTTGTAAGAAAGCACAGTTTTTATTTTATTACATAGCTGGTATTGAGGCTGATTGTGGCGATGCTCCATGGCATGTAAGAGCTTTTCTGGGAGTTACTGAGACAAAGCTTCATGGAGTCCAGGCTGGTAATGGACTCACTCTATAACTGGCAACTCCTGCTCCTTCTCCCTCTGACTCTCACAGTCTGAGATTGCAGGAGTGCACCGCTGTGCCTGGCTAGAATGCAGTGTGTGTGTGTGTGTGTGTGTGTGTGTGTGTGTGTGTGTGTGTGCTGGTAATGGACTCACTCTATAACTGGCAACTCCTGCTCCTCCTCCCTCTGACTCTCACAGTCTGAGATTGCAGGAGTGCACCGCTATGCCTGGCTAGGATGCAGTGTGTGTGTGTGTGTGTGTGTGTGTGTGTGTGTGTGTGTGTGTGTGTGTGTGTGTGTGTGTTCCTATCTGAATGTTTGCATGTAGGTCAAACGCCATTGTTGGGCAGCTTCCAAGATCACTTTCTACCTTACTGTCTGAAATCAGGTCTCTGAGTTCACTGATTGGTCTAGACTTCCTGGAAAAAAGGCCCAGAACCTTTGATTCTCTCCAGCTGAGGGCTGAGTCACAGTTACTTGCCACCCATCTGGTTTTCTCATGGATGCTGATGATCCAAGCTCAGGTTCCCATGCTGCTCAGCCACTGTTTTACCTACTGAACCATCTACCTAGGCCTCTTTTGAGGCTCATTAATCCATTAACAAAAAGAAATCTTTGCATGGATTTAAGCATGAGCAGTATTTTGATAAATAACCCTAACCCTAACCCTAACCCTTGACATTGCCCCAAGTTCACCACTGAAGGTTGCCTGCAGTCCTTCAATTTATAATTATGTTTGGTGTTCCTGTGTTTACGCTAAGACCATGTATCCATACTTTACCACGAATTCCTAAAAGATGGCTCCTGGACATGAGATAGAGCCCTGTGCAGCAGTCTGCCCTGTGCATTTTCCCCTCCTGGGACTTTGGCTCTGTCCCTGCATCCTGATGTCACAGCTGGTCAGTCTGTCTGGAAAAGCAGCATACTTGGACATCCACTCTCCACATTTAAGGGGAGTGGGGAAGAAGAGAGAAGAAAGGGAGAAGACAGGAAGAGGGAGGGAGTAGGGAATAGTGGGATCCACAGCTTGCTAATATATTAATAACAGCAACTGAGAACAACAAACTTCACAGGAATGGAAGGGCACAGATAGACATAGTGTGGTATCTGTTATGGAAACCATGAACTGCTTCTGGCTGTTGTTTGTCTATGTCAAAATGTTTTCCTGGAAATCACAAGGTAGCTCTCAGTGTGCCTCCACACAGGCTGTAAGCAGGGGATTATCTCCATGATTGTATTTCCTATTTCCTGGAAACACACTGATGCTAGCTTACCAATATTATCTGTGATTAGTGGGGAGAGGGACAGGAAGTTCCCAGTGGGATTCTGGGATATAACTTCCAAATTACAAAGGATTGCAAATAATGAATGGAGTGATGCCTGCTCTGACTTCTGGCTTCTCTGCTGGCCAATTCACTTCTTTCCTGTCACTTAATTTCATCCTTTCAAGTCCTGGTCACCTCCCTAGATCAGAGAGACAGAAAGAAGTTAGGAATTAAATGACTGTTTTTATATTGCTTTCTAGTGAATCATAGCTTGTCCTAAACTTCTATGTATGAACATCAGCAAAACTGTGTGTATGCATGCAAATGCATATATTCACATTTTAGCCAGTTGCATTTAAGAATATTAACCTGAAAACAAAATCAAGAGAAAGCTTCATTCATGACTGAATGAAAACAAGACATGTAGGAATTCTGTTAAAAGAAGAGATATGAGATCAATAGACTGTTACCTACAAGTGTTCTGCTATGATCATACCCTGAGTTGCTGTACCTTTTAGAAGAAAATATAATATATTACATATATTTTGAATACAATTAAGTCTTTTGCCATGAGATCCTAAGAGGTTCATCAGATGCTTTCAGACATTTTGTGTAAAATATCTGTAACTATTTTAATGGTTTCATTTCTTTGAATTTTTTTAAAGTACCTCCTGACAAAAGGATTGTGGTTCTGAGAGTCAGTCATATAACTATGTGGACCCATGACATCTCATTTAGTGGCAAGTTCAGCTAGTCCACCCTCTCCAAGTGGATGGAGCTTGAACCTTGGAAATTGTTTTCTCGGATTTCTTTTCCCCTTTCTCTCTCTTCTGTGTGTTCTGGGGAAATATCAATTCTCACACTCAAAAATTGGAAGATTCCTCTAGAAGACAGGAAAATTGGCACAAGATAGGATTTCCAAAGTCAATTTTTATATTTTGTTGCAGTTCGATGAGTGTTCCTATATGCAGGCTAAGGAATCAAAACATAAGAGCAGCCTTCATAAGTATTGGTCTAATTGCATACAGATTCATGTTTGACAATGTTTAGAATTTTTGTTTTTTGTTTGTTTTGAGTTTTGGAGAAAGTTTTCTCTGTGTAACAGCTCTGGCTGTCCTGGATCTTACTTTGTAGACCAGGCTGGGCTTGAACTCACCACAATGTTTAGATTTTTGACAGCCATATCCTTGAAACATTAGTCCTTGAAAGTATGTCCTTTGAAGGAAAGTAAGACTTTGTACTAAGTAGAAATATGCCATTTAAATATCAAGTTTCAAGAGGATCTGTGTCAGTTTTCAAATTCATTAGAAAAATAAATGTTATATATCCTTGAGATTTTTTTTAAAAAATAAACTAAGGTGCAGAAATTCTTGAATACCCTGTGGTTTCCCCCTAACCATATTTATGTCAGGTTCTCTGACCTACACATGTGTCTTATGCTTGTAGATAAAAAGCTTTGTCTAAGAGAATTGGTGATGCATACCCTTTGATTATTAGTGTCCTGGTAAACCACATGTCGTCTTGATAAAGTAAACCTGGATCAGAAAGACCACTTTGCTGGGCATCTTACTTCAGTTTCCTGGCGTGTTTATCGATTGCTTTTGTTAATATGTGCTCTCTCCATTGAAATTTAGCTCCATTCCAGCAACCTCCACCCAGAGCATGGGTTCAGGGTTCTCCCTCCATCAATCTCTCCTGGAGCCCACCTGTTTTTCCCAGTGCCCATTGGCTGTCTTACTCTCTGCTCAGGGAAGCTTCAGAAATCTACACAACTGAAGATCAACTCCCATACCGTGAGTTGGATGATTGGGTAATGGAAAGATGGGGTGTTCTAAGAATGGGTTTAAGTTGAATTCTCTGACATTGAGGAGAAATGTCTAGTTTCCTCTGTGAACAAAGTACATGTCATGCAGAGAGAATTATAAATCTCACTAGGGATCAAAAACACAATCAAAATAAGATGTATAGTGTTTGGTGAGATGATTATTAAATTTTCTGAGAGGAAAGCAGTGTCTCCAGCCATTATGTTTGGTATATCCAAACTAGAGAACTAATAGACTTCAGAGAGTTTACCCTGGTTCACTCTTTTTCACACAGTAAATTGTTAAAATATATGAAGTATCTTTCCTTCTTATCATGTGTCATTGGACTCATCGCACCACAGAAATTTAATCTCAAATAAAGAGCTATAAACGAACACATAATCCCATGTCCATCCCTATATGATTTGTAATATTAAAATATTGGAAATGATTCAGACATCCAACAGTCTTTCAGAGTAGTATCTATAAAACATAATCATTGTACACTGTTAAATACTGACATTCTGATTACAGAAATTAAATGGTAAAAAATATATGAATTATTACATTTGAGTATACAAAGGCTGGAAGTGTGACTTCAAGTAGACTACACTTTTCTCTGGATGTAAATATTACAGAAATTTGTCAAGTGTTTCAATTCTAGTCTTTTCAGGGTCCTTAAAGTCAGAGTCTCTTGTGTCCCCCAGCTGTCACTGAAAGGCTGAAATTATGAGCATAAAGGATGGTGCCCATATCATTTTTTTTTAATTCTGAAGTTGTGCAGATTTTAAAATATGAACCATGATATCACTATTATAGTGATTCATTTAATATAACTCTGTATAAATATTGCCCCATTCACACAGATGCAGCATGCACCACATGCTTAAATTAACAGAGAGGATAGGAACACAGGCAAGGAAGCTAGTTTAGGCTCAGTAACTTCTGTAAAATTATGAAATGAGCTTGTTGATGTCAAACATTCAGGAAACTACTGTTTTTTTTTTGTTTGTTTAATGTACTTAGATGTCCCAAATATGCAAAATATGGCTCCCTAAAGATACATTGAGGGGTTTTTGTTTGTTGTTTTATAGACTTCTAGTCCTGTCTAACTACAAACTGTTTTAGAAGACCATGTTAGGAAGTCTTAGACGAGTGGGACCCCCTGAAGGTACCATCTCATTCTCTTTAGCAGTCTTCTTTAAAACGTTGTGCTGTCCTCAATATTAGTGTGTGTGCATGCATATTTGCCATGGCACATATGCAGAGGTTGAGGCATATCTTTTGCAATGTAGGCTCTCTCTTCCCATGGCTTTCTTCAAGTACCTACCTCAGGTTAATAGCCTTGCTCAACAAGTTCTTTTACCTGTATGGCCATCTCACATGCCCTCCAATTCTCATGTAACATAAATAACCAGCTTTAAATGCATGTAAATTGAAGTTAAAAGAGTGACATTCCATAGCCTTCTTTCACATGGATGAAAGAAAGCCAGGTATAACACAATGGCTGACTTCAAAGCTCCATAATAGATAACAGACAATTTTTAATCAAATATATCAGCAGATTACATTCCAAATGTACTCTAATCATGTATGTCTTGCATCTACTTGTTATTGTGTCCTCCACGCTCTCTTTACGCTAAATCTCCCTTCCCTGGTTCTAGTCTTCTATGAAGTTAATGGAAATTCTGAACTTCAAGGTGCAGGGTGAGATGGAAAGCAAACATCTGTCCACATCTGCCATGTTGGCAAAGCATCCAAAATCCTGCTACTAAAATGTCTATTTTCTTCCAAAAGTCAGCGGGATCCAGGTGTTCTGAAACTTAAACTTTAGTGACAGAGGAAGGAGGGAGTTATAAAAATATTGCAAATGTCTTCTCAGTTGACAGGACTACTGGTTGAATTATCTCTGAAGATGCAACCAGACAGGCTCCATTTTCCAAGCAGCCTTGAATTGAATTTGAACCCATCAGTGGTCCATTTAACGCATGTTTCTCCCAGTAGCATGTTGTGATCTACTTGATAAAATGGCACATAGGAATGCAGCACCAGGGATTTTTGTGTGACTGTACTAATATAAAACCCAAACAATGGTTTTGTAGCTAATAAACATGCCCTCATTCACTAATAAGACACTTCTATAATCCTATTAAATAAGGTATTATTTCCTAAAACATTCTTTTTCATTAAAGATGCCACATCTGGCATTTGTCGACAACCATTGTAATTAATGATGTGAAAGTTATCTGCATGATGGCATTTGGATAGTGGGAACAATTGGTGAGCACGGTCAGAACTTTGCAGCATTCTAATAATACTCTGTTTATTGCTACAGCTTCAGTGCCTGGGTAGCATGAATAACATGAAAAGGAAACACTAATTCTATTCAGCTGAACGAACACAAATCTGTGGGTTAAATGAAGGCAGTTGGAATTATAGGTGGAGAATCACTGAACTTTTCAAAGAAAATTAATAGTGTTGTCTTGCAAGGAAGTTTGATCATTTAGTTGAGACCATTATAGAATTCCTCATTAATATAGAAACTTCTGCTGGCTAGTCTGGAGTCCTAAGGGAGGCTCTCAGATAGTATTTTCTTGCCATCATCATACACCTCAATATTACCATCTTTAAAGCTTCTGAATAACTTCTCTTTGGTAATAACACACTGTATTAGTTGACATTAAAACCAACCACCAGGCACACTCATTATGTGGGATAATTTGAAAGTTTCTGCATAAAGGTAGTAACTAAGTTGTATTACATTCAGTTGTTTCCTAAATAAAATGTAACTGATAGATATCCCACATGCACTGAGAATAGAAGAGTATGTGGTTGAGTTAGCTCTTTGCTTTTTTATTTTTTATTTATTTGTTAGTTTTCATTTTTGAGAGAGATGGAGAAAGTGTGTGATTGTGGTGTGTGCATAAGTTTATATACATATTTTATGTGTATAGATGGGTGCACATGTGTTCATGAGCATACAGAGGTCCAGTATATACTCATTTGGTCTCTCTGCCAAACCCAGCACTTACCAATATGTCAATCACTAGCTAGTTTACTCTGGAAAACCACTGGCTTAGCCTTATGAAGCTGGCATTATAGGCAAGCTGCCATGTGCTGGCATTTGTATGAGTACCGGAGATCTGAATTCCAGTCTCATGCCTTTTCAGCAAGAACTTAACCACTGAGCCATTTCCCCAGCCCTCAAGTTAGCTCTTTAGACTCCTACCCTCTCAGCACTTTGCAGAGCCTACCCCCTGCCACACCTGACTTTCCAAGCCTTTACATCAACTGTGAAGAGCACAGTTATCAGAGGAAAACAACACCATTTATGTAGTGTTTAATATTTAAGATGGTCTCAGTACATTTTGTATACACAGGCATATATTAATAGTGTTATCTTCCTAAACCAGTTTGATATATATGTTAGATATTGGTTTTGAAAACAAAGGAATACTAGCTGTAATAGAGAGATGGAATCTAAAACTGAAAGTCATCTTCCTTGCTGATGAAATGCATATTCAACTCCAGGAATTGAGGAAGTGGTTGAGAATATAGCTCAATGATAGCATGTTTCCCTAGTATGATGAAGGTTCTAGGTTTAAACCATAGCAGAACAACAATAGCAACAATAAAATAAACCTAGCTATGGGAATGGAGAGGTAGTTAAGTGCTTAAGAGCATGCAATGCATTTACAGACACCTGAGTTTGGTCCCCAGGACCTCTGCTGCCTATAACTCCTTCTCCAGTGTATCTGACTCCTTTGGATTCCCACAGGCAACTAGTTTCATGTGCACATACCTAGACACATACACAGATATGTATAAATACACACAATTAAAAATAAAAATAAATCTTAAGAAGAGGAACTAACAGTTATCACTGATCCATTTGTACCAATGACCATTGCTACATTATTCTTAGTGACCATGATATGCAATCGTGTAGGTAAGCATTGACGGAAATATGGAACATGATTAAGGAAAATTAATAATTTTTATGGTGAAATATTATTTATCCATCGGGAAGACTAAAATTTTCCTTTACAATCTAGAGGAAGATGGATAGAAGTCATGGTAGTGACTGGACCAAGCGTGACTATATACAAGATTACCATGTGTGCTTTTCTCACAAGGTAGATGCAGGTATTTTGTAAAAAATGTGGAGAATAGGACAAGAGTACATTTGAGAAGGAATACAATGGGGCCAAAGTGAGGAGGTATGGACATAAGAGAGGGAAATGATAAAAAACAAAGTGTATCTATGGATGAAAGTGCCATTAACACATGCTAATAAAAAGAAGTCAGATAGATGGGAGGACTTGCCCATCCTCTTCAGGGACTCAGAGCAGAAAACAGGGAAGTCAGTAGGCAGGTGTGGCATTGTGGCAAATCGTTCTTACCAGTTTGCTATTTGTGTGAACTATGTCTTCTGCAGGATGATTGTGGGGATTGGGTGGGCCTTAAAGAAGTCTTCCCACAGGAAACTGCAGGGCAGTTACTTCTTACCCAGCAACACTGCTCCATACACATTCTCAGCTTCAGAGATAAGATCACATATTTTGAAAATACAATGATCTGGCAAGTACTTTGACACAGGGGTGATCACACTGTGAGCCCTGGAGGGAATCTAGTTGGGTGTCACCAGAAGCAGGTACTCAAGAGAGTTTTGTCATTAGAGAGTCATATCCATTCAGGGGGCTAAGGCAGCAGCTTACCAGTGAAGTCTGCATTTCAGCCCTAGGTAACTCCTCTGCCTGGGGTGTGTTCCTCTGTCTATCTCATTCTGTAATTCTGTGATACTGCACATCCCTAGTCAGCAGAGGACATGGGAAATCCATGTGATGGCTGTTTCCATGATGAAATTGAAGTCAAACCACCTCCATTCAGGTCTCCATTTACATTCTTAGGCCTACTACTCTCCCTAATCCCTCAGCTGCCATGTTAAGTGGCATTTAGGGGAGGATAACGTCCCTCTGGCCTTTAGCAGAAGTATCTGCTGAGGATGCTAGCTTGTTAAATTGTAGTGGACCAGTTTCATCCTTGGCATCTCCATGACATTGACTTCAGGTGAAGCTGCTTTTCTGCAGCAGTCAGGTTCTTGTGAACACTCTACCACATTCTGGGATTTTCCCGCCTGCAGTTTTCATCCAGAGGTGTAAAGTCACCTTGTTCCAACAAAATGAAGCCCCATGGGCAGTCCACTGGCTCTCAGTACAGCATCCTTTCCATTCAGAAAGCCAAAACATCTGTGAATTAAAATTACACTCCAGATATCTATTACTCCTTAGGAATCTAGTATGCAGGAAGCTTCAGTATTGCTGTTCCGGAAGCCTCCCAGGACCCCCATACAATCACACAAAGAAGTAGTCAGTAGCCTCTCTGACAGCTTTGTTTCATAGGTCTGCAATGTGCCTACTTTCTCTGCAACAGCTTTGTTTCATAGGTCTGCAATGTGCCTACTTTCTCTGCAGAGAATGGGTGTCCAGGCACACAGCTAATCATGGCCACTACCTATATCTTCTTTATTGTTTTTACATCCTTCTTCCTGACCTCCCTGTCCTTCATGTGTGGGGATGATGATCATCTCAAACTTCTCTTGTACAACCTCCCTGTGGTTGACAAGTATCTCCAAGATTCAGCAAAATGCACATAGTGTTGTTTTAATAGGTCAGGGAGGTTCCAGTCAAGGTATTAGACAGGAGAAAGAGTGGGTGCTTGGTAGTAGTTTGTAGAATGTTGGACTCATGTATCAGCATTTGGCAAACAAATCAGTTAATACTGAAAGCAAATATGTATTTCAGAGATTGCAAGGGCCTCCTCTGGGTACTTCTATCAGGGGACCATGGGAAGAACAAAACAAGGACAGAAACAGACTTCTAAGTGTTCTTTGCTCCATTCGACACTTTACTCACAATGTACTAGATAACAAAAGCAACCAGTATTTGCCAGGTTCCCTTTGTAAGAGCAACAAACAAACCCTTATTTGAAAGGCTTGATTGGTGTACTACATAGTTAAATAGTATGAGAATAAGATATTTGGAAACGATTCCTTGACAATTGTGATTTCTGGCTATCTGTTTTGCCCTTTTCATTTCAGATATGCAGTAACTTCTTTGACATTTGTCTGTCACCACACACCTCATATTCATGTTATATAGAGACATCCAGTGTATGTGGTTCAATGAGGAGCATAGCTGTCACTCATACTAAAAAGCCAGAGGTCTCAGAAGGACACTTAAATTTGACTTAACTTCATTCCTGTTGGCTCCGACTCTGTGACGTTTACCCAGCCTGGACTCCCCAGCAACTCTGGTCCTATAGGGAAGTATGTTTTACCATGTACACCTATGGACAGCATTGAGCCCTGTATCTCCTATGAAGGTCAGGAGACCTCAGCTATCATCTGGAGTCTGATTCCGTTCAGCCAGTACCATTTTTCTGTAGAGGGATATACTAGTGGGGGCTGTTTACACAGCTTGCCCATTATAGTAACCACAGCCCAGGCACCTCCCCAAAGGCTGAGGCCACCTGCAATATAAAAAATCAGTTCCACAGAACTCCAAGTAGTCTGGTCTGCACCAGGGAAACCAAATAGTAAGAATTCAAGGCTGAAACTTCTCTTTCTTTTAGAAAATCAAAGCAGAAATGAAGAACCATGTAGTAAGACTGGAAACTCTATTTGCTTATATGAATGTAAGGTATATATGTTTGCTAAATGATTTCTGAAGATATAAAATACAATTTATACTAGATGAAGAGGGTATTTCATCTAATTGAAGAACAAATTCCATTCAATTAAATTGTTTTTTAAAAGGCTAATATTATCTTTGCTCTTAATGGCATCTGCCACAACACAGATGATGTTTATAATTGGATGTGTGCATAAAAAATGCATTATATTTGACTGAGTCACAAGTTAGGGCACACGTAAACTGCAAATTTTCTCTTTTAAGCCAGAAAGAGATATAAAATAATACAGAAAAATTGTATATAGGCTAGTTGACTCCATTAAGTTAATTTTTGTGTCCTTAAAAATTGAACCACGGGGTGCATAGGCCAAATACACATTCCTAGGTTTTAATGATTTATATTATGTACATACCACGGTAAAATTTGCATCACAATTTTTGTTGCTTGGTAAAAACTTGACACAAGTTAGCTACACAATATTTATGCAAATATGTCTTGTGTCAAATATGTAATTTAATCCCCAATATTCAAAGTATGCGAACTGGAAGTAGATGATACAGGTACCCCAAAAGAAATGGACATCCTTATCAGAAATTATGAGTACCCAGCCTCAACTGTTTCATTTCACCCATCATAAACAGTAGTGATTTTATATTTATATTTCTTTTGATTTGCTTTCCCCTAAAGTAGCTTGGTTTTTATGCTAATTTGTATTCAGTCTTGTTGTTTTTATATACACCTGTCTTACAGATAACTAAATTTCTACACCTAGATACTAAAAAGAATCAACAAGTAATATAGTCAGGACACTGAAAAGCTGGCAGCCTTACATGACCAGAGTCTAAATAACCCCTTTTGAGTAGGTCACTCAATTTACTGTTTCTTTTCTAGTTTCAATTGTAAGATATGAATTATACATGAAATGATGGCCATCTACTAAAGAAAGTTTGAGAGCAGAGGTTGGCTCAGTCCTCAGCTAGATTCCAAGTCGGCCAACAAGAGTGAAAACAGACTTCAGGCTCATCGAGTCAATGTGTCCATCTCTGGCTTGGAGCCACACACAGAGTATGCATTTAGGGTCTTAGCTGTGAATATTCCTGGCAGTGTGTCATCTTCTTGGACTTCAGAAAGAATAGGAGAATCAGGTAAAGATCAATGCTTTGGGTTCTTATTAAAAACCCCTTGGTGAAAGTGCTGCCTGGAAATTAAGGTCAAAGAGACATTTGAGGTAGAAAGAGCAGCCATGAATTCATTTGGGAGAAGAAGGCTTAATTTTAGCTCTAGTCTTTGTGGGTGTGTGTGTGTGTGTGTGTGTGTGTGTGTGTGTGTGTGTGTGTTTGTGTGTTGGGGTGGGGGAAGCGGGGAGGGGACTCATTTCCCCAAATAGCAGTTGATTTCCAGTGTCATGTGGAAAGTCACTTACCCTAATCTTGTTTTGTATTTATTGTTGTTTATCAACAGTGAGAGTTTTTAGTTTTACAGTTAACTTTTTTCTCTTTTCAGAACAAATATTGGAAGTAACAGTTTATATAATGACATAAACTAAGACATTGAAAGGTCTAATCCCCAGTGTGCTTAGAAACAATCAGAATTAAGGTGAGGGAGGAGAGCCAAAAGTTTAGTTTTCTTATAGTATCTTCATCAAAGTAACTGATTTATTACTAATTTTTCATTTTGTTTCTCACATAGAGTGTACGTCCAATGCCATGAGCATTGGAAAAAAATGAGTATACTTTTGCTATGCTTTTAATTTACATACATACATAATACATAATACGTAAATACATACAATACAAAGCCTGCCCTAAATTTAACAGGTTGAAACTGTGAAGGTTGAGGCTAGCTTTAAATGGATGTCCAGGGCCCTCATTGAGCAAATGAAATGTATATTATGTTTGCCCATCTCTCAAAGACTACTTACCCTCTTGAACAAACTGGAGGGCCTTGAGAGCTGAAGTATTGAGTCATGGAGGTCTGGAAGGGGTAAATCAAGACGAGAAATGGGATAGAACACCATCCATGGACCCTCACAATGTTACGGATTACTGGGAAGGGAAATGTAATGAGGCCCTTTGACAACATCTATTTGATGGCTCATTTAAATTCTATCCAAAGATAACAATGATGGTGGGAATAAAGTGTGGTGTCTCTGTACCCTGAATTTTTCAGGAAGGACTGGCCAAAAGCTGTGAGTTTCTTAGGGATCATTGAATCCATTTTCTTTGTGCTTCTTAGTGGAGTGATTCTTCCCCAGCCTCATTGGTCTGGCTCAATGAAATATGGCTTTCCATGAGAAACCTAGTATGTCATCATGCATCTTATGCTTTGGGAACTGTGACAAGTTTTTTCTGTATTATTCAAATTTCTTATCAAATTAGTCAGTACCCATTTTCATGAAAATAGAGAAGTTTCTATCAGAGTTCCCCTGTGTATGTGTTTATGTATGTGTGTGTATATTTGTGTGTGTGTGAGTGTGTGTGTGTGTGTGTGTGTATGGTATGTGTGTGTGTGTGTGTGTAAAGAGAATACACGCCTGTGTGCATGCATAGTCTAGTGGTAAAGCCATCTCTAGAGTATTCTATCACTCTCTTGTGATGGGGTCTCTCACTGAACCTGCAGCTAGGCTGGTGACTTACAACCCACAGTGATTATAGACACATTTGAGGTCATGCCCAGCTTTCTCAACTCAGGTCCTCATGCTGTGTATCAGTTGTTCTTACCCACTCAGCCATCTCTCCATGCTATCATTCTGAATTTTATTTTGTAAATGAAAATTGCCTTACCTGATAATATTAAGATAGTAAACATCCTTGTTGATGACAATTTAAAGTGAATATGTAACATATCTGCACATTTTTTTAGTTTTTGAAAAATGAAACTATTTTTACAAAGAATAGGGTTTTGAAGAAACTAGAAAAGTGAAATCTGAATTCTTGTATGGATGACGCATGTGCTTGATGTTGTTTTTGTCTTTGTTAGCACCTGTGTTCATGTTCTGTCTCTCCACTCTCATCATACTCACTCAGTGTCTCTTGAGAGAAGCCAGCAGAGCACTTTGTAAGAGGAGAAATTACAGGGTATAACATGAGCCTCCCCCCAACAAGATGTTCCAGCGATGTGTTCAAATGTATTTTTATTTTCAGCTCATTTCTTTTCCGAATTAAATTATGGCTTCATTTAATGTTTTCTAAATTTACAGAATTCTGTAGAAGAATCTCTCTCTAAATGCATTCATCAGATGAGCTATGTTCATTAGCACAACATTGGATGTTCAAGGTCCTCTGCTTATATATGCTTATCACCCATTTTTCTAGGGGCCTGAACTAAAGTGTTTGTAATTTTATTGCATGAGACCTGCTGTTTCCACTTAGTCTTAAATATTTTCCAAGAAGTCCTTTCAACAGCTATGTACAATGTAAGATAATCTCAAATATTATTTGAACACATAATAGTGTATTTAGCCAGTCCACAATCTGTCAGTATTTATACTGCATTCATTTGGATGTCAAAATGACATTGACAAGACCATCTCTTGTGCATATTTTGTGTGTGACTTCATTTCCTTGGGAAAAGCCATGGAGAACCAAATTTATTATAATATAACAGAAAAGCATGGCAGTAGGGCTGAAAATGTGACCCCCATTGGTAAAATGCTTATTGATTCTCAGTACTCCATAAAACTAGACCCCAAAATTCTAAAGACAAAGACAGTAAGATATAATATACAAGATTACATTTAACTACCTAGTAAATTTGAGGCTGCTCGGGTTACATGAGACCTGTCTCAAAATTTATAAATTGACATGATTCATATGAATACTATTATTACAATGAATTTGTTCAAAGCTTTGGATATGTTTACATCTTGTCTTCTAGTAATGTCTACTCCAGTGATGAGAATATAAAGTTTTAACAGTTACAGATGTCTTACTGCATCAAAATTCCAGCTCATTAGATTTGAAAGATTCTAGAATATGAGAGGGTCTTATTCTAAGCAGTGTGGAGATGAGGTGTTTTACCTTTCTAGCCTGTTTTATGTTCATGTAGTGTACACAGAGAGAGGCTATTGGTATCAACTGCATGTGTCATCCTGTTTCCTTATATTTATGAGGGACATAGTCTTTGATGAACACTAGCATGTGATAATATCTCCACATTTCTTGTCCAATCTGTACACTCTGTGTTTCCCAGATTTCCTATACTCTAATCATCTGACCTAGTCTCATGTCCATGACCAGAGCAACCAAGGTCTATCACACAATCCACATGTTTTTTACCTTGAGATACTTCTCTTCTACATATAGTGGGTAAGCCTGAAGGTCTGTCCTCTGAGAATATTTGTCTTCACTGCTGTTTCTGAGACCCACCATGGTGGGACCATGTGCAGCAACCACCAAGCCTATTCTTGTAACTATTTTCTAAGACAAACCACCTGTGCAGTCAGCTCTGGTGTTCTCCTTTCTTTATGCTTTAGAGAGAATTCCAAAGATCAGCATGGCATTTTTTGGGCTGTGCTCAAATCTTAGGTTTCCATTATAGGATGCAATTTAGTTGAGTCCATCTGACCTTAAGACTTGATATATCTGAAGAAAATCCAGCCAATGAGAAGCAACTCTATGTTCTGTTGGATGCTTGGGATGAAAGCCCAAGAGCTTCCTGAGAGTGTTAAGCAAATAGTTCATGGTGTCTAGAATTCCTATCACTTTATGTGCCTCTACTCTGCATACTTTCTATCTTGTGGCTCTCTTTACATGAATACATCACAATATTTCCCCACTATTACGTGTCCCAGGGCCCTTGGATCTAATAGGTTTAATGTTGCAAACAGTTCAACAGCCTAAGCCTTGGGATAACATACTTCTTGCTCTGGGACAAATCAAGTAGCAGAATTTCATATTGACATGCTAGTCAGATCAGTACCCAAATGAAGACTATTTCCCTTCAGATGGAAGTCTCTTCACTAGACATTGAGCTTCTTGCTAAAGGGTGCAAGATAAAACACATTCAAAGATGCAAGATACAGTTCTTTTTCTTCTACTTTGGACTGGATAAGATGTCCTAGATGTCACAAACAACTTGGCTTCCTAAAACCCCAGCTGATGCTTCAAATCCCTTAATCTTTTATGAAGTTAATCTCCTACTCTCTGGGACACACATCTTACTAAGACCTTCACACACTTGTTGTTTCCTGCTTATCTGATCCATTTAACATGATTTTATTGACACTGAGAAATAATGCTTTCAAGAAGGACTGTATAGTTTATCTTAAAGTGATAATGACCCTAAGATTATCTCTATTTAGCACATAGATGAAATTAGCAATAGTCATCTGATTGAATAGACCTAAAAAATTTAGTACTTTCTCTAAAGTTGTCTTAATAATTACTTAGTGCACCACTAATGTAAGTTTAAAAATCGTGCTGCTATAGCAAAGTTGTAAGCTTCTGTGGGTCAACCTACCTGGGTCCTCATTGTCAGCCATGAGAGGTGGTGCAGCTACAGGATCCCACTATAATACTTTGGCATCTCCCTCCTATGAATCTAAGGCTGCTTGTGACTGCTGTAGGTCTGTTTCTTCAGAGAACACCAGCCATGGTAGAAGACTTGAGAACAGGATATATAGGGTGTGTGCTCAAGTGCAGACACCATAAAAAAAGTCTCACTGTTGAGAGCAAGAAGCCGTGGTGTGACCACAGCTGTTAAAATGTCTCAATGATATCCCAGACATCTCTACAACCAGAATCCTCTAAAGTTGCTGTAAAGGGTAGATATTACAGGACTTTTAACCTCAGCACTATTTGTTTACAAATCCTGCCTTCCAAAACACCATAGACTGAGTGGGTTACAGGACATACATTGATTCTCTCAAGTTCTAGGGTTCCAAAGACTAAAACCAAACTGCTAGGAGAGCCATGCTCCTTCCATATACCCAAGGGGATGTCCTGACCTGCTTCTTCCATCTTCCTCCTGGTGCTTGCTGACACTCCTTGAATTGTGCCAATATATTTCCCATTTCAACTTTATCAGTTTGCTTTACCTCTACTCCGTCTGTCTGTTTGCATTTCTCCTAAAGAGGAACCAGCTGTCTGATTGAAAGATAATCCTAAATACAAGATGTATTAACTCATTGCCTCCACAAATGCCTCTGTTCAAAAGATGAAATTCTCAAATTCTGGGAAGCCATGCATTTTGGAGGGGACCCTCTTTAAATCACTATTAATATATTTGCCTTTTTTCCTGAGGTGTCTTAGTGGACAGGATATACACACACACAACATAGAAATTTATTTTGGGGCTAGATAAAGAGTCAATGATAAATTCATGATTCTTTATTGTCTTTTCCTATTCATCTACACATGTAACATTTTCAACTATCTCATGATAATAATAGCATCTACTATAATAACATGCTTTTCAGTTTAGACAGTTTACTGTACAAATCTGCTGAAATATAGTTATTTAGGAAAATGTATAAATAACACTGGTGTTTGGAGTTCAATCCTTATATTCCATATTTATCATTGGTGTTTTGGCTCACAGTTGTATTTTATCTCTTCTTTTATTCTTGGGCTCATATACTGTTGAAGTCAATACCTAGTATACATCCCCAGTATACTTTTTTGTACTCCTGTAGGGAAAATATCTAAGACATTTGAAATGTCACTAAACTCCATGAGCATCTGAACCTGTGTCTATTTGTGAAGTTACATTTTATATGAAAGTCAAATCTAGGAACTATGTCAGTAACTACATAGCCTCTTGATAGTATCAGTCACCATACTAAACACAAGCCATGGGGCTGCTACCGATGTAATATAGCAGGTTTTTACTGTAGCCATTTTTATAACTATAAATGTCATACCTCAATGATAAAGCATATACTATAGCAAATACACCAACCAACGCCATACTCATTTTTAACATTACCAAGTCTTCAGTACTGTAGACATCTGTATGTCCTATAGTTTTGTAGCCTTGGCAGTATAGCATCATTGTTTTGCATTGACACTACCACAAACATTTGACTGCTTGCTTTATGACATTAAATAGCTACGGTGTGCCTAGGTAGTATAAACATTCAGCTTTTTTATTATAAAGGGCCACAATTACATGTGCAGTCTGGTCCATGGTTGACTAAACCATGCACACCTAGTCCATGAGTACATGTAGGTAGCCCTAAGAAAAATAATTTCATATTCATAATTCTATCTCTGTGACATTCTCCCCTAAATATAACTTACATCCACCATCTAGGTAAGTTTTTTTTGTGGTTACTTGTTATTAGTTCTAGTCATAATAATAGGATGAATTCTTTCTGGCTGTTTAATTGTTTATGGTGTTTCTCCCAATCTCTTTTGCTCAAACCCTCCACTTTCCTTTGAAAATGTCAAATGATGACCATGTTTCACAAAATGTGATTATCAGCCTAATTTATGTGTTTATTTGGATAGGAAAGGAAGTGAGATTTAACCTAAAGGAATGTTCACTTAGCATCTACACTTCTGCCTTTACTACTGTGGAGGTATTAAACAAAAGATAGGATGATTTAGAACCATGTTATTGTCCTATGCTGTGCCATCAAGTGGCATGTGGTATCTCCACCCTGCGTATCTGTTGGCTTTGTTTGGAATTTTTCACAATAACTATGTCGATGTCGCCATCTTTATCTCTACCATTGGTGACAATAACCACACATCCATGCTGCTTTATGAGGCCATAACTCCGTTTTCTCATTTATCCACTCAGGAACTGCATTATTACCTCATAAAACAGTGTGATTGTACAATTATCAATTAAACCCTGTCTTGTTGAGATTTCTTTCTTTCCTTTTTTTTTTTGAAATTGCTTTACTTATGGGAGTTGACAATAATTCCCTCTGTCTGAATTTTTAAAATTTGTAATGTCAAGGTCATAGGCTATGCATTTATTCTTATCTGATTACGATTATTATTGTTTTGCTTTGAAGCTGTTGCATTCTGCTAAGTGCCAAGATCTCTCTTACATCATAAGACTCCAGCCTTATGGGATCTACACCTTTACTGTTTCCTTCTGCAATTCAGTGGACTGTGTGACCAGTGCTTCAGGAGCAGAACAAACCCCACCAGCAGGTGAGCACATTCCAACTGCATATAAAGAAATACATCCATATTGAGAATAAACCCCTTCAGGACTCCTGGATTTCACATGTGTCTTTTCTGGCTCTGATGCTCCCTTAGTAACCCTGAATGCTGTTTGTCTTGAAATTCTTAAACAAATCAACATGGAGTTAAGGGTTATAGACACATTGGAAGAATCCCAAATTGGGCCTGTGCTCAGCCTCTACCTAGGAACTCAAAATGTCCTGGCAATTGTGAGATGTGTTTAGGAGGCATCACATGAGGCCACAGGATATTTTTCCCTCCATCTTAACTTTTCTCTTTGTGTTGGGACTACCTACTCCTGTCCCATGATATCTAGCAATTTCTTGGTTGCCCTGGTACTGTATTTCCATCTGTTGGATAGGCAAGTGCTTACATATTATTTTATTTATGATTAGTAAGAATCTCCTATGTTTGTACAATGTAATAGGAAAATTGTTAAATCCTAGAATGTGGTTTGTATCATTTTTGTTTGCTTTATTGCAAGCCAACTAGGTTTAAATAAAGCTGAAGACACATATCACTACCATATAGATTCCACTAATAGCATTTAGAATGTTAGAATGTTTTCAATTCCCATTGTTTCTGTGTGCTGTCTTTCAAAGGCTTAGGTTATCTTTATGGATTCGTCTACATGTACAGAGGTTAGGGGATTCCAACATGAATTCTAGGTATTGTACAAACATATATTTAAATCATCCTGCTATCTGTATACCTAATTCTTTTGTTCCTATCTCCAGTCCTGGGAAAACTAATTCAGTTCAAATTATGTCACACATTTACTTTTGCTTGTTACAATTTTCCACTGATGTGAAGGAAATCCAAGTCCCATGGCAATGTGGTTTATTATCTCAACAACAGATTTCTTCATGAATTTATGTTCAATCTATGTGTACTTCAGATGTGTGAGTGCATTGAAGGAGTATCAAAGTGTATTAAATCATTTGGAGTCCCACTTTTTCTATAAGCCCATTCATTTTTATACATTTTCTGACTCAAAAGTACTTCGTTTGAATAAGAGAAGTGGATTCTATCTGCTTTTTGGCAAAAGTGGCACAATTTGGGACAAAATTCAAAAGAATATTCAATCTTGCAGATAAGACAAAAGTAAGACAGAGATTGACCACAAGCTAGATTGGTCTCTGGTGGAGTGTGGGATAGAGAGACCAGCAGTGAGACAGGTGGGAGTTTCAGGCCCCAAAGTGATCCAACATTGTGAAGTCATCCAGTTCTGATGGCTACCTAAGGTTACTATAGTTATAGTCACATCTCCCTGTGTTTGTCCAACCCAAATCTAAACCTTTAGTGAATAGAGAACACTGGGGTCTCAGACAAACCAGCATCTTTAGATCTTTAGACCCATTTTTTTTGGGAAAGGAAGATCTCTCTCTCTCTCTCTCATTGTACTTATTTATGTATTTGTTGTGTGTGTGTGCACATGTGTAATCATACACATGCACAGTGCATCAGTGGAGATCAGAGGACAACACACAAGTCTCTCTTTCCACCATGTGGGTGCTAGAGATTGACTTCAAGACCCTCACCAAGCACCTTAACTGCTGAGCCATCTCCCAGCCTTGAAGAAGTGAATTTTTAAGTGGACTGAAAATATCTACCTCTAGCTTCCACTCAACATTCTTCTCCTGAAAGATGTTGTTAGTAGAACTTGTCTCCCTCATAACAACATTGTCTGCTCTACATCTACAGAAGTCCTGCTCCTCCATGCCATAGTGTACCATCTGCATCCCCTGGATGCAAGATTCGAGTGCTAATCTGGCACATTTTCTAAATATGACAGCCCATCTTCCTACAGACACAGCCAATAAAAGGCACCGGAATGAGATTTGGCTGACCTTGTGAGCCAGATATATTTTGGAGACTAGAGTACAACAAAAAATTGCCACTCTGCCATCATTGATAGCATCCCCAATGATCCCGTCTTAGGTGTTGAAGCAGTGAGTTCCTATTACATGGAAGGCTCTACAGCCAGTGCTCTCAGCAGTTCCTTTGCAATCATTAGTGGGGAACCCTTGGGCCATTGTCACAGGAGAGACCATAAAAAGTTAACCAAAGCCTCTGAGTGGCCAACGCATGTTTGAAGAAGTGTTTAGCATCCTCATCATTCCTCTTTATTTGCTCGAATTTTTTGAGATCCTGGCTTCGTGAGACTTACTCCATAGATCAGGTTAGCCTCAAGTTTGTGGCATTCTTCCTGCCTCTGCCAGAAATGCCAGAATGCACTACTATGTTTTGTTGCACCTGTACTTAGTCAAAAAGGAAGTGTAAATTAAAACTGTTCTATGACTCTCTACTTCCCGCACCCCAATCTTTTTACTTTTATCCGCTTGGGTGTTTTTGAGATACACTACTGGAACCCACTATGTAGTCCAGGCTGGCCTTGAGTTCATGAGTTTGCCTACCTCTCCCTTGTGAGTCCTGGGATTACAGGTGTGTGCCACTGAACCTGGGCCTCTCTACCTTTTTATCACAGAGAAATAGAACCTGGAAATATCTCATAACCTCTAAAGGCTACATAGATTTTAGATGTGGGTGATAGATAGCAGTTATGCTTTGTTTTGCATTATTTTATTTTTCCAGATAAGATCTCATTATTTAGTTTGGGTTGAAATCAAACTCATGATCCTCCTGCCTCAGCCTCCCAAGTAAACATAAAAAAATATTCATATGCATTTTGTGGGATGATGAGCAATTATTTTCTTCTTAGCTATTATTTCTAACTTATAAATATACTTAAATGGGAAAAAATTAACCAGAACACAAGAGTATGAGTTTGGGTTTTGCTATTTACAAGCTAGGTTTGCTATTTCTGCACAATGGTGATCAACGCCATATATAATGACTAAAGACAGAAAGTTTGTTTTGTTTCAGTGTCAGTGGGTTGAGTCCATGCTTACCTGCTTATTTGGCCCCCATGTACTAGGACAGAACAGGATGACAGTGGGACTATAGAGAGGGAGATGCTATTCACATCATGGCAAACAGGAAGCAGAATGTAGGGAAGGACTAAGGCGACAGGTATAATCTTCAAAGATACACTTCCTGTGTGTGATCTACTGCCCCTTACTGGGCTCCATCTTAAGATTCCAGAACCTTCCAAAAAAGCACTTATCAGCAGGAGACTTTAGCAAGTGTGCCTGTGGGGGACTTTTTGTGCTCTAGTTAGAGCACCAGTTGTGAGACCCTTAAGTGATTTATGTTGTCTCTACTACTGAGCTTTCCAGTTTAAAGAATAAGGATAGCAAATTTTGTGTGGTATTTCTGTAGTTTAAAAGATGATGTGGGGAACATGTGTAAAGACATGTTCACCACAGCAAAATGTCCAAAGGTTTTCTTCTTATTGCAATTGCCATCTCATGACACATATTTGTTAGCCAATGTAAACACACACCTTATCCCTGCTGTGAGAATTTACAGTGTTACCAGAGTCAAGAGCTGGGTTTTACATCTTCACTCTCTTAGCATTTACCTAACAACAGAGAGCCCTAAAGCCAGGTGCCTTGTGAAAACAAACCAGAAAATCTTAAAGTCTGAAGTGTTTTTCTTTTTATGAGAAATATACCATTTGTTGCTGGTTACTCTGCTCAGGCAGCCCTTGGGGAAGTGTGTGAGAAGATGCAGCACCAAAGACTCAGGCACTGGGAGTCAGTGGGTAGCAGAACATGCTGCAGACTCATTTATTAAGGAAGTTAGACCCGCCTTTATACCCCTCCCGGGGTCCTATTGGCTCAGGTGGCTGACTCTGCTGCGTTGTCCTTTCCTCATTGGTGTCTCTGGGTCAGGTGTCTCTTTGTTAGCATTCTCTGGGCATAGAGGCAGGCTTGGCTCAGGTTGGAAGTACTTGGTGCTCATGCACATGCTCATGTGGGCTGGCCTGGACACCTGGGCAGGGCAACTGAGGCTTGATTAGGTTGGCCAAAGTTTTCCCATTATGTACATTTAAAATGTAGTGGAGAGAAATCTCAGGGTTTAAGAACACTTGCTGTCATTTCAGAAAATCCAGGTTCAATTCCCAGCACCCACATGACAGCTCACAACCATCTGTAACTCCACCTCCAGGGAATCCAATGTCCTCTTCTGGGCTTCCATCAATGGTGTACAGACCCACAGACAGATATGCAAGCAAAACACCATACACATAAAAGATAAAAAATAAAAATAAAAATTAAAGCAAAATAAAATTAAAAATGTGTCTAGATAACAAATTTCAAATTTGTTGTTTAAGTATAAAGTCACCTATGTGCCCCAAGCACACCATTAATATGTTATCTTGTAAAAATCTCTCATTAGAAAGCAACCATTGAATGCAAAGTAGGGAATTCAAAAGACAATGTGCATGGTCTTTAGATTAAGGAGTTAACATTTAACAGACTAATTTGCATGAGGATATGTGCTAGGACTCTGAGCTGAAAAGAAGGCTCTAGGAACAGAGAAGAGGTTAGGAAATTCACTTGATGCTGTTGTAGATAAATTTGGTTGATTGAAAACATTTGTATCTATTTATTGTGCATATGAAATGTACTAGTGCCCATGTTAGAGGTTGGTACTGTTGTAGATATTGTTATGATGAATCCATGGTTTATGAAAATATCTCTGGCAGTACATTCAGCGGGGATATGCATAGATGCTCAGTGGGGACAAATGGACTTTATCCAGTGACTGGAAGTGAAGATTGACAGATGAGATGGTTAGTAGCATAGCGAGACTAGCCACGGGTTCAGAAGAGGAAGAATTTAGAGATGACAATAAATATTTGAGTAGACCATGATGTTTCTGTTAAATAAAATGGGAATGATAAACACATAGGAAAAACAAAACCATGCAGTTATGTTTGATCATTTGGTGGGAACATATCCATGGCAGCTATAAGCTGCTAGCAACAGAGCATATAAATCTGTTGGTTAAAATGTTGATGATTTTATAATCCTCTGTAGAGATGGAGGGCTGTGGTG